CTCACTGCGCTTTGATTAATCCTCCTCTTGAGTGACTGCCCCTGATTGATCGTATCGGCACACAGCACGGCGCACTCTCCATCCTATCATTAAAATTATCGTCTTAAATGCCGATTTCTTGCGGGTTTTGCAATATTTTTTGTGTGTGTGTTTGTGATTTATGTTTTCGCTCTCGTTCCATTTCTCACGTCTCGCGCGTAAATGGGCCACTTGGTGTTGGCTCTGCTCGCTCTGCTACTCCAGGGCCGCCCGCCGCGACTTCCTTCTCCGACCGCGACACCTGGTGCGCGATCAGTCATGGCACCGGCCGCTATGACTTTCCGAATTTTTGGGAGCAGATCAAGATTTATATAAAGTGGTCAGGGAGGGGAGGATACTTCTAACGAGGAGCAGACTTTTCGCTCATGCTAGCACCCCTCGTATACCCCCTCCCCATCCGCGGCTAAAGCCGGACGACGGGTCCTCTACTCCGCTGAGAGGCGCGTTGGCATCGAGATGCATCGCTACATGCGCGATTTGCTTGAGTCGCATGGGCAACTGCGAAAAAAAAAATGAAAAAGGGTGATGGTTTGGTATGCTCCTCTCGAAATTTTGAAATACACTCAGAAGACCGCTTAGTCCAGAGAACCAAATTCCAAACCTATCAAATTTTATCTCTAGAAACCAAAATTTATCCGTGGCGATGAAATTATTTAGTCTATCTGTCTTAATTCGATTTGTGCGACCATATATTTAGTTTAAAAAGGGGTTCTTAAATTTTAATCGGTTTTGGGAAATTAATTTTGTTGCATGTTTATTTTGTAGTACATTTTTTAGCTTTAGAAAGGATTTATGACGGCTTGTTCATAAGTACTTAATATTTTCGACTTTCTGCTGATGCCCTCTGGATTCAGAATCGGGTCTTGCCAGGGTTGACCTGGCCTCGGGGTGGCGTACGTCGTCGGGCCACTATTATTTAGTCCGGGGTGTTTTGTTCAACAGTGGTCTCGAGGCGACAGTCGACGGTAGGACGGGAATCTTGATGGCACTGATGGCACCAGTGGTGGGTCTGCGGTAGAGGGCAGCGAATCCTCTGCTGCAGCACGAGGGTACGGTCCGGTTTGACTTGACAGGTGTTTGTATACCGATGTAACGGATGTAACCATCCGTGCGCAAGGGTCTTTGGCGGGTCGCAGTGGGGTCCTTGGGGGTCCATGCGGGCCCTTGCGGGCCCTTGAGGGTCCAAAGCGGGTCCTAGCGGATTTAAAGGGATTTCGATTGGTCCTGGCGCCTTTTGCTGGCTTCTTTGGCGGGTTCCGGTGGCTCCTGGTTGGTCCTGGTTGGTCTTGATGGGTCCTGGTGAGTCCTAGTGGGTCCTGGTGGATTCTAGTGGTTCCTGGTGGGCCCTGGCGGTTCTTGGCTGATCCTGGCAGGCCCCGGCGGGTCCCTGCGGATCCCAGCGGGTCCTGGCGGACCTAGCGGATCCTGGCGGGCCCTTGCGGGTCCTTGCTGTTTCTGGCGGGTGCTGACGGGACGGGTGCTCTGGCGTGCCGTGGCTGTCCGTGCGGTGGGGGCGGGTCAGGTGTTCGCTGTTCGCGCCGGTGCCATTGACGTCCACGATGGATGGCGGCGCTGCGCACCTGCTGTGGACGCGCCCCGTCACGGAGGCGCGTCACACGGCGGCCCGTCACACCCGTCACAACCACGTGGTAATAAATTATCGCGAGGATGCGCATTTCATTCAAGGGCACTCAACATGTGCCCTTTGTCTCGCACCACCTCCATCACCCCGCCCCCTATGGACCCAACATTCTATTTTGTTTTCCTCTTTTTCTTTTTTCGTACATTGCAAGTTGCCATGGCGACGGTCGGGAGGCGCATGCCAGCGTCGGCGTCCCTCGGCGCCGCTCGGCCCCGCGCTCGGCTCCGCTTCGGGCGGCCGCCCCTCGCCCCCCGCCCCGCTCGCCGAACGCTCGATGCGGCCGCGCTGCTCCGCTCGGCTCGGGACGGCCGCCCTCGGCCGCGCGACGCGCCGCGAGACGCCCAGTCTGTGGTCGGCCGCTGTGGAGCCAGCACGCCTGCGAGCGCCAGAGAGAGAGAGAGAGAGAGAGAGACGAGTCCCCTCCCAGAGTGACAAGTTGTGATACCGGGCCGGCACCCTTCCGCGCGCGCGCGCGACACGCACTCCCAGTGCACGCCCGTCGCCCGTCAGTCGTCTGACGCGCTCCCCGCCGCCCCCGCCCCGCACGTCCCCGACGTGTGGCACCCCGGCGCCGTGCTGGCCGACTACCCCGCCGCCGGCTCCTTCTTCGAGGGGAGCCCGACCCTCCCCCTCGCAACGACGGCGTCGCTACCGGTAAGTGTCGGCGGGCCAGGCCACGCCGGCCGTTAGACCCGCATGGACCCCGAGGTCGACAAACACCTCCGAATCGCATGTTGGTTGGTCGCCTGTCCGTCCCCGTGGGCCCCGGGACCGGGTCCCGGGGGAGGTGGGCGGGAGGCGGCTGGAGGCTGGAGGGGCACAGCACGTCCCGTCCCGTCCCGCTGCCCCCGCCCGCCCCGCGGCCGCCCGCGGCCCTACCGGCCCGACTGTGTGTAGCGCCCGGATTACTGTGCGCATATTTTCCCTTTCGTTTTGCGCCCAGCAGCGGGAGCGGGTGTTCCGCAGGAGCCTGCTGCGTCGGCCGCATTGACCTGTCGGGCAGGCCGTGGCGGGGCGGGGTGCGGCGGCGTGGTGCGGCGGCCTGTCAACTGGATGTGTGGCGGCCACCGCGCCATACACGATGCGCGCCGCCGTGGTGTTCCAGGCCGATACCGCCGAGCGCCACGCCGCGCCACGCCACGCCACGCCCGTCAACTTAATTGGCTGTTAATTGAACGGGTCATGTGCGTTTGTGAGTGTGTGTGTCAGAGAGAGAGAGAGAGAGAGAGAGAGAGAGAGAGAGAAAGAGAGGGGGGAGGGAAAGAGTGAGGGAGGAGGATGAGGTCGTGCGTGTGGTGAAGGGGGTAAAGCGCGCGACGCGACTATAACACCCAATTGCGGGGGGACATAATCAAGTTGCTAACAAAGTTAAGGACGAAGTGGGCCCTCCTCGAGCAGGCCCCCCTCCCCACCGTTGTCCTAAGGCCTCACCCGCTTCCCCCCGCCCCGCCCCGCCTATCTCACGCCCTCCCAGCCGCCACGCCCCGCGGCCCTTTCTCGCCACCTTAATTGTGTGTGGCCCGTTTGGTCCGCGATATTGGCAATCTACCGAAGCAAAATAATCATGTCACCGTGTGCCGGCGTGCAAAGGTGGGCTTCTCCACCACTAGAGAGGAGAGGTAGACGAGGGAGGGAGGGAGGGAGGGAGGGAGGGAGGGAGAGGGAGAGATTAAGAAGGAGTGATGGGAAGACAGAGAGCGAGAGTCGAATTGAAGAAGTTTTTATTTGGTCCATATTAAAAGGGCTAAAGAGTCCCGCTAAAAATGTAGACAGAGCAGCTGAACAGTATTGTTAGCACACAACAAAGAAAGAGTAAGCGAGAGAAATTGAAATTGTCTAGGTTTCTTTGTGAAAGGGCCAATTGGTTGGACCCTGCAGCGAGAGATTGGGCGCGTGGCGAAGGGCTATTTGGTCACGCGGTGCGGACCATCCGCGTCTGATGCAGCTGCTGCAAAAACCTGGAGCAAAAGTAATAAGGTTGAAGGGGGGCGGGCAGTTCGCCTGACCTCTGGAATTAAGGCCCGCTGGAAGTACTACAACACTTTCTTTGCGGCACACTTATTCGCCGGCAAATGAGTTGAGGCCAGAGGACCCGGCGGGGCGTGGCGGGGCGTGGCGGGCTGTTCAGTCGTGCGGCACGCCTTGCGCCGCTTTTCGGCGCCCGCGGAGTAGCAGTCGGCCGCGAGTACCACCGCCCCGCCCCACCCCGCCCGCGCCGCCACGCCCCGCCACGCCCCGCCACGCCCACAGAGACACCCAACGGTTTGACCTAGGAGCAGACAGCCGTGGCCGACACTGCAAATGTAGCTCTCGATACTTTGTCGCGACAAAGGCCGCGGGGGGATGCCATTTTTTTGCTCGCTTTGGCAGGCGTCGTTCCCCTACTGGTCACAGACGGTCACAGCCGGTCACAGATGGTCGCAGACGTGACCGCCCAACGCCATTGGCTGGGTGCGCGGTCACGTGGGCCGCAGGCGGCGCCCTCTAACGACCCCACCATTAGCATGCGTGGCGTCACCCGACACATTCGTTTAGACCATTTATTAACGTTTTACATCCTTTATTTTTCTTTGCTCTCTGTCTGCGTCTGTGTGTGTGCATCTGCCTCTGTTGTGCAAAACCAAAAATTCTATTAATGATGAAATGACTATCTATCTATCCATCAATCTATTTGCTATTTATCCAACTATCTATTCATTGAAACGAAGAACAAAAGCGTGCAACTGGCATGAACATGTAAGAGCCAATATGGTAGACACGACATTTGGACTGAAAATTTAAGTATTTTAATGTGTTTAACAGTAAATTTTCAAGTTCCCAAAGTTGCATGGCCAACATTTAAAAGTGTTCAACTTTACGGTTAACCACTTTTCAGTATTCACATGTCGAGTCAAACACTTCAAAGCTTTGCAATGTAGTGTAGAGCACTTGCATGTGCATGGCAGAGTTGTTGCACACTTTCTTTATCAGTGCACTCCTTGCTCTGGAAAAGTGCGGCCGCCCGCTGGATGTGATTGGAGACCCGATCGTCGCCAAGTTTCTCGCTTTCTCCGCCAAACTGGTGACATAGGCGCACCGTGGCGCCCGACCGGGATACGGCGGTCTCTTCGTTAGTCCCAGAGGGCCCCTTTTGTTTCTCCCGTTTTTTATCCCCTCCTCACAGCAAACAAAACATTGCTAGCCGAGTTCATTACCTGTTTACACTTTCTTTCTGAGGCGGCGGCGCGGATGAGCAAACCCCTATCGACCTTTCACCCCTCTCCCCCCCCCCCTCTCTCTCTCTCTCTCTCTCTCTCTCTCTCTCTCTCTCACTTCGTGCTACCTGTTCCCTTCCGTCTCCCCCCGCTCCTCGCAGTCTCTCCTCACTCCTGCCATATTTCACCCAACCCTCCCCCTTTTTCCTTTGCAGCCGGTACAGACAAAGGAATACGTTGGTTAGGCACCGCGCCAAGTTAAGTTACGGCTGAAAGACGCTTAATAGACGGGGGAGGTGTCAGCCCCCCCCCCCCTCCTCCCTCACCCCCTTCCATTATAATTCTATAGTTACGCGCGCGCATTTCGACCAACCGACACACATTTTAAAAGGCCATACGCACCAGCGTCATCCCTCGCGCATTCCCCGACCTTCAGAGGATAGAATTCGCTCCTGGTCTTTATTTTATTTTAAACCTGCTCTGTCGGGAATGTAAAATGTCTGCAAGTTGTATGAGATAGTGTTCCTTAAAATATATTAGTTGTGGTGTGCCCTGAAGCCTCCACGGAAAACTAGAACCGGAGAGAAAATCAAATTTCAATACGGGCTGTCTTAGTTCTACGATACCGATTACAATTACCACTCTTATGATATATAACAAAATGTGTTTTGAAAATTTAATTAAGACGCGCATTGCTTACAGTGTCCGTTGGGGTTGTATTTGCAGGGTATGAGATGGCCGCCTTGTGATAGTGGTGGGCTGTATGCGTACTGGGGCACACAACGCTGAGCGAGAGAGAGAGGGGGGGAAGAGGGTGGCGGAGAGGGGTGACAGGAAGCACCCCCAAGCCCGATATCGGCTTATGACAGCTCGTCGGAAGGTACGGCGCGTCCACAACTGGGTTTGTCTGCCTGTTGTCTCGGGGAAAGGGGTTGGGAAAGCGAGGGGCTGGGATGGGGAAAGGGGGCACGAAGTTGTAGCGTAGCCAGCCCTGTTCTTCATGAGAAAACGGTACAGCACTGCGCGATAGTCCACCGCCTATGGCGATGCACAGTGAATAAATGTGCCCAAATATTCTAGGAATGCTTTGACCATACCTATGATATTTAGAATTTCCAACTGTCAAAATTAAACTGATTCCAACCCGAAACAAGAACCGTTTGCGAAACCGTTACCCGGCATAGCGGATGTGAGGATGTTCCTGCCTGGCAGCTCCCACCCCGCCCCCTTCCCCCCAAGGGTTGTGGTGCGCTGCAGCAGTAAAGTTTTAAGTGTGGACACCCGCCACCTCCCAGTCGCGCCCTTCTCACTCTCTCGCTCGCTCTCTCTCTCTCTCTCTCTCTCTCTCTCTCTCTCTCTCTCTGGCTCTCTGTCTCTCGCACACAAACGCCTCGTGGAGACGACAACGACGTAGCGCTTCGAGCCGCCGGTGCTGCGGCTCCTTCAAGTTGTGTGGTGGGATGGTGCGGGCAAGAGAGACAGAGAGAGAGAGAGAGAGAGAGAGAGAGAGAGAGAGAGAGAGAACACTCGACCGAAGAGCAACGTCGTTAAAGTGAGCAAGGTGTAAGAAAGTGGATACAGCAGGAAAGGACTGTCTACTTTTATTCGAAATCTCAGGCGTCGAGTTAGCACTGGCGTCCACGCTAGTTCAAGGTGAGCCCCTAGTAGGGAGGCGGGCTACTGCTCGCCCCTGCAGACGGAGGGATAGGCAACCGTCCGCCGTGGGGTAAGGCAGGCCCGTGGCGCGGCCGTGCTCGGCGGGTCTGCCTATGCCGGCCTCCACAGGCGGGTGAGGTAGGGGGATAGGCAACCGTCCGCCGTGGGGTTAGGCAGGCCCGTGGTGCGGCCGTGCTCGGCGGGTCTGCCTATGCCGGCCTCCGCAGGCGGGTGAGGTGGGGGGATAGGCAACCGTCCGCCGTGGGGTTAGGCAGGCCCGTGGTGCGGCCGTGCTCGGCGGGTCTGCCTATGCCGGCCTCCGCAGGCGGGTGCGATAGGAAACACCGCCCGCTGCCCGCGGGATGCTGGGTCGCTTTGTTCGCGGAAAGGCG